GAATAGATACAGAGTTTCTAAATTTCTAAACAGTTGCTATTCTTTTCATCGGTGTTTTATTATTAACTCCATTATTTTTTTCAATAAAATCTTTAGTTTGATTTTTTAAGAAATATAACATTTTTTAATCAGACCCTAATGCTAAAGCAACTAGTTCTATTATAATTTACTATATTAAAATAGTAGGTCTTTCGATGTTTAAAAATAAAATAGATAATTTGGGTAACGAAAAATAATATCAGTTATCAATATGTATAAAGTATAAATCAATGTATCAATGACAATTTAACTATGTGTAAAAATATTTTGCGTTTGGGTTATATTTCGAGCCATCATCAATAATTTAATGACTAAATTTTCTGTTGCACTCGAGTCTAACATTCTCACATTATTCCTGACTAGTGGTAAAATATATTTCCATTTCAGGAAGATTCACTAAGTTATCAAAAGAATGTTAGATTAGATTAATAAAAAAAAGGATAAAATATAAAAATAGAAAAAAGAGTAAAATGAATAAAATAAGTAAAAATGTTAAACTGAAACTAATATATGAAAACATAAATACATAAAGGTATTGTGGTGCCGACGTTTCGCAGGCGTTGCAGTCTGCTTCATCAGGGCTGGGAGACTCTGATACTGAGCTCCCTCCCTGATCAAAAAGGCGAACCTCCCTCCGCTAACCACGAAATACCTGACCCCCAGCGACAGCTCAGCACCCAGACTATATGGCCTCCCGAAGATCCACAAAGAATCAGTCCCCCTACGGCCTATCGTCAGCAACATCGGGGGCCCCACCTACCAACTAGCCCGCTACCTCACCAAACCCCTCCAAAAACATACCGGCCTCAACGACTCCCACATCAGGAACTCAATGGACTTCATGAACAGAATAACCAAGATAAAAACCAAGCCCAACGACATCCTGGTAAGCTTCGACGTGGTTTCCCTGTTCACCAACGTCCCAGTCCAAGACACTCTGGATATCATCAGAACATCCAAAGAGATTCCATCCACCCTGTTCCCATTAATAGAACACTGCCTCAACTCCACCTATTTCCGGTTCGAAGGAGAATTCTACGAACAAACCACGGGAGCAGCAATGGGATCCCCGATATCACCCATCATCGCAAACATCTTTATGGAACACTTCGAGAATGAAATCCTGAAGAAGGCCCCACTAAAACCCTCCACATGGTTCCGGTACGTGGACGACACCTTCGTCATCTGGAACCACGGAAGGGAAACTCTACCTCATTTCCTCACTTTCATTAACTCCCAACATCCCAACTTCCAATTCACAATGGAGACCGAACAGAATTCCCAAATCCCCTTCCTGGATGTCCTGGTCCGTAGGAACGAAGACGACACCCTAAGCCACAACGTCTACCGCAAACCAACACACACGGACCGATACCTCCACGCAAACTCCCACCATCACCCCGCCCAAAAGAATTCGGTAATCAGCTCTCTAGTCCACAGAGCACTCTCCATCTCGGAACCAGCCGCCCTGAACGGAGAGCTAAACCACCTTCACCGAATCCTGACCAGGAACGGATACAGCAGCAGAAACATCAACCGTACCATCAAGAAG